CTATCATTTGATTAAATTTTTATAACATCATATGTATCTTAGCCTATTAATTCTATCTTTCTTGACAGCTTATATAACACTGTTTATTAGCTAATAGATTTTTTAAACTTATTATTTTATATATCATATTAATTAATAACAATATCAATCAATATATATTCAACTGCTTATGAATTTTGATTTTAATTTCAAATCAAACTTATTAAAGCCAAAATAAATAAACTTATAATATTTTATTGATTTATTTTATTTATAAATTATTAATAATTAATGACTTACTACAAGACGTTTTCTGAAGAAGTGGAAGATCATCACTGTGAGATTTCACTCTTTGGATTCTAGTATTTTTCGTAAAAATCAATTTTTGTTGGGTTAATGTTTTAAATTTTTTACAAGACGGCTCTTTAGACATTTCAATTAAAACAAAATTTAAAAATATTTATTTTAAATAGGCTATAATTCTGATAAACCGCGCTTTGTGACAAACGAAAAATGAACTTAAAATTGAAACCAAAGAATATAAGAAAACGAAACACTTAGAATTATTTTTACTTACGTTTATTTCGATTAATTCGGTAGATGGACGTACCAAATTTTTCCATTTAACTAAAAATTTCGTGATTGCACTTATTCGACTTAAAAAAACCAGTGCCGGGAATGAAAAATGGGATGGTAAAAGTTAAAGCAGAACCGGGGGGGAGCCTCACAGTGCCGGGAAATCCCCGGCATCCCGGCGGAATCCCCGGCATCCCTGCGGTAAATCGAGCACTGGTCTAGAGCCTGCTTTGCTCTATGTTTCCTTGTTTTTCGCATTGTATGTCCAATCCAGCGCCTTTGCGTCTCTACACTTCTTACTCTATTGGGTTTTGTCTGGGTTGTTTCCCACGGGCTACAGTTAGAGATTTTGTTCGGATTACTTTGAGTAACTATAGTCTTTACATTTTATTCTCAACTACTATGTGTATGATTTACATGTAGTAACTTTTTATACGGCTCTAGTTTAGATTCTAATAGTATAACTACCAGAATACCCATATTGACATAGTTCTATCCAGCAGACGATATTTAACAATGTAATAAAAAGAGATATACATATAGAATAATATACTACTAATAATGAAATATAAATTTAGGCTGATGTAGGGCGCTGGTATACAAGACAAAAAAGAAGGGGGGGCGAGGGGTGTGGCGAGATGCTTAAACCGCTTGGTTACCTATCAAGGGGACTCGAGGTCGAAACCCGACTCGTGTTTACCAAGCGCCTAAAGGAAGCACGGAAAACCTTCTCCCAGATACCCCCTTCCCCTACCGGTCCACCAAAGAGATTGAACAAGCGCGCTGAGCATGCTATAAGTATGACATTTTCGCTATAGAAAATCTCTCCTTGTCGGACTTCATTAAGCCGATGTTAAGTTCAATTCTATTTAATTTACATTTTTGGAATATTAATTTAACATTGTAAGGAAGCTGTTGATGGCTACCCCCCCCCCCCCCCCCCCCCAGACACACGCTTTAAAAAATCTTTTATTTAAAGAAATAAAAATATGCTTGGCCAATACAATGAAATCTTCCAGCTAGTGTGATTTTAATAAGGATGGGGAAACTATCTGTATCGTCTACAGGGATACATAAAAAGTAGTATGTAAATTTTTTTTCAATCGTATCCTTTGAACGTAATATATGTCAGTGACTAGCACTTTTTTTTTTTTTTCAAATCTTCAACAGTCAGCGCTGTCTGACTACAATGTGTTCTGTTCCATGGATCAATCTTTACCTACTTAATTATGCTTTTCTTTGTCCCTTCAGCTAGAACAGCTAGATCTTGATCTACATCTAGTACTCCGCGAACTTCGCGACCTAATTTCAATGCGTGACGTAGCATATGTTTAAAAGGGGGGGGGGGGGGGGATTAAGTTGCCTACAGGCAGTGCTCCCCCCCCCCTACTAAATGAAATAGTCAGATGCTTGGGGTTGGGGAGTGTGCGAAAATACTAACTAGGTTAATAGCTTTGTAATTGGGAGGAAAAAAAACACCACCCCAACGTCAGAGCTAGGAAACGAATCACTCAACTTATCTGACAAGGAGAAAAAATAAAATAATATTATCCTCGTGATAAAAATTCGGAAAATTTTGTTGTTACCGGTATTTTCGCTTTTTTTTTTTATACACATTGTAGTATCCCGCTGGGTTCCCTTATATCCGCATTCAAGCGATACTACAGAATAAGGTCAAATAAGTATTTTTTCCCCCTAGGAGCATAAGTAGGTCATGTAAATGCGTAAACTATTCAACTGTTTCACAAAGGCATTAGACATGATACCGAGGTTATATTAAAACTTTCACCATTATAAACTTATAGGTATTAAATGTAGACCTATGGATTTATAAGTGATTGGAAAGAGATTGTTTGTTGGAACGGTTCGATCTATTATGTTGAAGCAGTGTTGGAATCCTTGATCTTGCTGTAACCTAGATTCACAAGTTTAGAATGAGAGCCGGACTGTTTACCTCTCACTCTCGTAGTGTAGCGCGCGTAGCTGTATTACAAATCTGTTAGCTAATAGATGTTTTAAATAGGTTCTCCGCATATACTAGACTATATTTTGAATAAAAAAAAACGTTTGTATCCTACAATTAACCTGCTTAAAACTTGGCCCTTATTATTTTATTTCATGTAAAATGTATATATTATTATAAACTATTATAGTAGTTAACAGCGTCGGTGGTGTAAAGGTTAGCATGGTTGCCTTCCAAGCAATCGATCCGGGTTCGATTCCCGGCTGACGCATAATTTTTTTATTTATATTTTACAGCAGGACAAATCTTATTGCAATCTATTGTTTTATCAGTTTTAATTCCACCTGGTAGCAATTTATTTAACAAACCTGTTATACGGCACTTAAACGTTATATAGTAAGGACATGGGCGTAGCCGTGGGGCCTTGGGGTGGAGAAGAATCCCCCCTAAACACCCCCCCCCCTCCTCGGAGTTTAGTAACTGATCTTTTGCTTTAATTTTGTTTATTTTAGGTGAACTTTTAATACTGAACCATCACTTGCCTTAGCACAGCTAAGGGGGTTTTGAGTTTAAAACCCCATACCAGCGGGTTTTGAGTTTAATACGTCCTACCAGGGGTTTTGAGTTTAAAAACCCCTTCCAAGGGGTTTTGAGTTTAAAAACCCCTTCCAAGGGGTTTTGAGTTTAAAAACCCCTTCCAAGGGGTTTTGAGTTTAAAAACCCCTTCCAAGGGGTTTTGAGTTTAAAAACCCCTTCCAAGGGGTTTTAAGTTTAAAAACTCCTTCCAAGGGGTTTTAAGGTTTAAACCCTCCTACCAGGGGTTTTGAGTTTGAAACCCCCTACCAGGGGTTTTGAGTTTGAAAACCCCTACCAGAGGGTTTTGCATTTAAATCCCCCTCTTCTATATAACAAAAAAAAATGCAAACGACAATCCCAAAATTCCAAGAGCTTATCTAAGGAAGATTCTGATTTTAATTCAATATAAAAGAAAAGCAAATTACGCACTCAAAATGCTATGAGCATAGCCAAAGGGGTTTTTAGTTTAACCCCCCCCCCCCCCCCCCCAACCTGCGGGGTTGGAAGCTAAATAATAAATCTTCAAAATCTAAAAAAAAATTCGCAATCAAAATGCTATGAGCGTAGAAAAGCCTATTGGGTGTTTTGAGTTTAAATTTCCCTTCGGAGGGGTTTGATGCTAAAAAAAATACCTCTTCAATATAAAAAAAAAAAGCAAATTACACAATAAAATTCTTTGAGCGTAGCGTAGTTTCAACCCCTCTCCTCCAGATAGCTTTTTTAAAAGTTTAAAACCTCTCAAGATAGTTTTGAGTTTAAAATCCCCCTACAGAGCGATTTAAGGTTGAAAGCCTCTCTCCTCAATATTATTTCTAAAGCAAACTACTGTCACCAAATTCTATGACCGTAGCTAAATGTGGTTTTGAATTTAAAATAACAACAACTCCGATATATTTTAGTTGAACCCCCCCCCCCCCCCCCAACAGATGATTTTGACGATAAAACTTCCCCTTCCGATATAACATCTAAAGCAAAATAGTCACCTAATTCCAAGATCGTAGTCAAGAGAAGTTACACATGTCTACCAGTGGCTGGGCTCCATTAATAAAGTGCAATGACATTGAAAAAGACTAAATGTGGCTCTACAAAGATGGTTAAGACAGATTTTAGGAGTCAGTTATTGAGATCGGGTCTAATTCAAGGAAATCTTATGCCGAAATGTGAGTCGACCCCTTTGTAAGGTTGTGACAGAGAGTCGCATGAGGTTTGCGGGACATGTTCTCCGAATGAAATGAATTAAGCATAAGAGTTGCGATGAAATTCTAGTACAACTTGGCGCCACACTTTCATGGAGGTCCTCAGAGCAGATTGAAGAGGCTTCAGACATTTCCAGTGACAGATTTTTGTGGAAACAGCTTGCCAGCAAATGCGCCGAACTGTGCGGGAAGGTCTTAGCTAGTAAGAATAGCACATTAGGTTTTTGAAATAAAACTTTTTAATAGCAGCCTAATGGACTGTAGATACCTCAGAATATGCACTTTGTTGACTTTCAAAACCAGAAATAGTGCTTGGTGGCGGGGCTTCGCCCCGCGCTGGGGGAGCTCTCGGCACTCCCCCTGATCCCTTGCTGACAAGGGCGAGGAGTCTACAATTTTTTCACTAACTCCAGGAAAAACCTGTTCAAGGGCACAATAAACGTCTTCCAAAAGAATGAAGGGTCAGAATGTAATAGAGATTAATTATATACACACACACATCCATCCATACAAACATATATATATTTATATATATATATATATAAATTTTTTTTTGGGGGGGGGGAGAAAAATCCCCCCTAAACAACCCCCCCCCCCGAAAAAAAATCCTGGCTACGCCCATGAGAAAGCATTATAAAAGCTTGTTCTCGTATATATGTATACAGTGCTTTTTTGTGACGGTACGTACGGGTACGGCTTGCCGGCACCCTTTTCAATGTGGGGGAAAAAATATTACTTTTCTTGAATTTTAACATTTATGATTAATTTATTACTAGTTAAAAGTTAGGCAATCCATCACTGAGTACCGGCACCTATTTCTTTACAAAAAAAAGCACCATATATATATATATATATATATATATATAAAATATTTGTATATATATATATATATGTATATAACTGCATCCTATTTATTTCTCTTTCATTCTTTCGCTTCTTTACTGTTATTGTGCACTTAACGGCTGCCTGGTCGTGCGGTTTGCGCGCTGGACTGTCGTTTCGATTTATCGATGGTCCTCGGGTTTAAACCCTGCACGTTCCCTTCCCCCGTCGTCCTGCGGGTGGTTTGGACTAGGAAGTAAACTATCTTCAACTCTGATGGAACATCCGAAACATGTAAAACATTTTACAACATTTTTACAAAAAAGTAAATACATTGCTTCAAGACTTAAGAAATTTACTTGCCAAAATTTATTCTAAATTGATTTACGGACTAGGAGGTCCCCAAGTGCCCCACCCACACACACACACGAGCAACGTCACGTGCTACCAACACACGGTGCAGACTTCACAGCGTGATTTCTAGAAACACCACATCGGAATTCTATCACGACTTTCGTTACGTCCTGTCCTCCCGTCCTATACTTTGATGTCGCTTGTGCGTCTCAGGGCTCTAGAGATTGTTTTGCATTAGAAGTTTGTCGTCCCGTTTTTTATTCGTATCCACTTCCCGTTTTCTCTCTCTCTCTCTCCCTGTCTCTCTTTCTCTCTCTCTCTCTTTATCTCTCTCCCCGCCTTCATTGAACTAGAATGAACTATTAAGTCACTAGTTTGAATAGGTCAGTTATGCCCAAACTACGGCCAGTGACACGGTGCTGTCCGGCCCTTCGACATGTCTTCCCACATTACATAAATACTGAAAGCCTTAGATTCCATTGGTCCCGATGTCTTTTTATTTTTAAGCTGATATTACACATGTGTTGGAAATTTAATTAACCCCCGGGCCCCGGACTGAACAAGGTTGCGAACCACGTGATCTAGGTCGATACCAAACATGTAACTAAGCGTTCTGGGAGTTTAGTTAAGGGCAATGGTTGGACGTGGAAGGGGGAGTAAAACTAGGCTAGGTGCACCCTACCCCACTGACGCCCTAGATGTTCTAGGCTAGGTGTACCCTACCCCACTGACGCCTTAAATGTTCTAGGCTAGGTGTACCCTACCCCCACTGACGCCCTAGATGTTCTAATATACACCAAACGTACTACTCACATGTTGACTTAGGGTTTAAACTCATGACCAGTAACTTAACAGTCACGCCTTGGGTGTACGACAACCTTAATTTTTATTCTGTGTAGATGATGCCGTTAGCGTGGACGTAGAATAAAGCATTGGGTAGCTGTACTGTGGTGTCAGGTAGCCTACACAAGTAAGATGCAGTAGCTGTACTGTTGTGTCAAGTAGCCTACACAAGCAAGATACAGTAGCTGTACTGTGGTGTCAAGTAGCCTACACAAGCAAGATACAGTAGCTGTACTGTGGTGTCAAGTAGCCTACACAAGCAAGATACAGTAGCTGTACTGTGGTGTAAAGTAGCCTACACAAGCAAGATACAGTAGCTGTACTGTGGTGTCAAGTAGCCTACACAAGCAAGATACAGTAGCTGTACTGTGGTGTCAAGTAGCCTACACAAGCAAGATACAGTAGCTGTACTGTGGTGTAAAGCAGCCAACACAAGCAAGATACAGTAGCTGTACTGTGGTGTAAAGTAGCCTATACAAGCAAGATACAGTAGCTGTACTGTTGTGTCAAGTAGCCTACACAAGCAAGATACAGTAGCTTTACTGTGGTGTAAAGCAGCCTACACAAGCAAGATACAGTAGCTGTACTGTTGTGTAAAGTAGCCAACACAAGCAAGATACAGTAGCTGTACTGTTGTGTAAAGTAGCCAACACAAGCAAGATGCAGTAGCTTTATTGTGGTGTCAAGTAGCCTACACAAGAAAGATGCAGTAGCTTTACTGTGGTGTCAAGTAGATTACACAAGCAAGATGCAGTAGCTGTACTGTGGTGTCAAGTAGATTACACAAGCAAGATGCAGTAGCTGTACTGTGGTGTCAAGTAGATTACACAAGCAAGATGCAGTAGCTGTACTGTGGTGTCAAGTAGCCTACACAAGCAAGATACAGTAGCTGTACTGTGGTGTCAAGTAGCCTACACAAGCAAGATACAGTAGCTGTACTGTGGTGTAAAGTAGCCTACACAAGCAAGATACAGTAGCTGTACTGTGGTGTCAAGTAGCCTACACAAGCAAGATACAGTAGCTGTACTGTGGTGTCAAGTAGCCTACACAAGCAAGATACAGTAGCTGTACTGTGGTGTAAAGCAGCCAACACAAGCAAGATACAGTAGCTGTACTGTGGTGTAAAGTAGCCTATACAAGCAAGATACAGTAGCTGTACTGTTGTGTCAAGTAGCCTACACAAGCAAGATACAGTAGCTTTACTGTGGTGTAAAGCAGCCTACACAAGCAAGATACAGTAGCTGTACTGTTGTGTAAAGTAGCCAACACAAGCAAGATACAGTAGCTGTACTGTTGTGTAAAGTAGCCAACACAAGCAAGATGCAGTAGCTTTATTGTGGTGTCAAGTAGCCTACACAAGAAAGATGCAGTAGCTTTACTGTGGTGTCAAGTAGATTACACAAGCAAGATGCAGTAGCTGTACTGTGGTGTCAAGTAGATTACACAAGCAAGATGCAGTAGCTGTACTGTGGTGTCAAGTAGATTACACAAGCAAGATGCAGTAGCTGTACTGTGGTGTCAAGTAGATTACACAAGCAAGATGCAGTAGCTGTACTGTGGTGTCAAGTAGCCTACACAAGCAAGATGCAGTAGCTGTACTGTGGTGTCAAGTAGATTACACAAGCAAGATGCAGTAGCTGTACTGTGGTGTCAAGTAGATTACACAAGCAAGATGCAGTAGCTGTACTGTGGTGTCAAGTAGATTACACAAGCAAGATGCAGTAGCTGTACTGTGGTGTCAAGTAGCCTACACAAGCAAGATGCAGTAGCTGTACTGTGGTGTCAAGTAGCCTACACAAGCAAGATACAGTAGCTGTACTGTGGTGTCAAGTAGCCTACACAAGCAAGATGCAGTAGCTGTACTGTGGTGTCAAGTAGCCTACACAAGCAAGATGCAGTAGCTGTACTGTGGTGTCAAGTAGCCTACACAAGCAAGATGCAGTAGCTGTACTGTGGTGTCAAGTAGCCTACACAAGCAAGATACAGTAGCTGTACTGTGGTGTCAAGTAGCCTACACAAGCAAGATACAGTAGCTGTACTGTGGTGTCAAGTAGCCTACACAAGCAAGATACAGTAGCTGTACTGTGGTGTCAAGTAGCCTACACAAGCAAGATGCAGTAGCTGTACTGTGGTGTCAAGTAGCCTACACAAGCAAGATGCAGTAGCTGTACTGTGGTGTAAAGTAGCCTACACAAGCAAGATGCAGTAGCTGTACTGTGGTGTAAAGTAGCCTACACAAGCAAGATGCAGTAGCTGTACTGTGGTGTAAAGTAGCCTACACAAGTAAGATGCAGTAGCTGTACTGTGGTGTCAAGTAGCCTACACAAGTAAGATGCAGTAGCTGTACTGTGGTGTCAAGTAGCCTACACAAGCAAGATGCAGTAGCTGTACTGTGGTGTCAAGTAGCCTACACAAGCAAGATACAGTAGCTGTACTGTGGTGTCAAGTAGCCTACACAAGCAAGATACAGTAGCTGTACTGTGGTGTCAAGTAGCCTACACAAGCAAGATACAGTAGCTGTACTGTGGTGTCAAGTAGCCTACACAAGCAAGATACAGTAGCTGTACTGTGGTGTCAAGTAGCCTACACAAGCAAGATGCAGTAGCTGTACTGTGGTGTCAAGTAGCCTACACAAGCAAGATGCAGTAGCTGTACTGTGGTGTCAAGTAGCCTACACAAGCAAGATGCAGTAGCTGTACTGTGGTGTAAAGTAGCCTACACAAGCAAGATGCAGTAGCTGTACTGTGGTGTAAAGTAGCCTACACAAGCAAGATGCAGTAGCTGTACTGTGGTGTAAAGTAGCCTACACAAGCAAGATGCAGTAGCTGTACTGTGGTGTCAAGTAGCCTACACAAGTAAGATGCAGTAGCTGTACTGTGGTGTCAAGTAGCCTACACAAGTAAGATGCAGTAGCTGTACTGTGGTGTCAAGTAGCCTACACAAGTAAGATGCAGTAGCTGTACTGTGGTGTCAAGTAGCCTACACAAGCAAGATACAGTCGCTGTACTGTGGTGTCAAGTAGCCTACACAAGCAAGATACAGTAGCTGTACTGTTGTGTCAAGTAGCCTACACAAGCAAGATGCAGTAGCTTTACTGTGGTGTCAAGTAGCCTACACAAGCAAGATACATTTTTGAAAGATCACGTTCGGTATTTCATCATCGCCCACCTCTAAATCTCGAGTACTCTGTATTCGGTACCAAGAGTCTTTTGTACCCAAACATGTGTCTGGTTTCCTAACGGTGGAGGGGATTTGTGGAGAAGTCCAGGGTTAACTGGTGCAGAGCAATGTAACGTTAGTACTTTCTCAGAACACACACCCAAGCGCGCGCACACACACTCATACACACATTTCACGTACGCAGCAGATGTCGTCATGGACACACCGCAAATGAACTCATGCGCTAAACACAAGCACACGTATTCACTCGCACAGATAATACACAAACACACACATATACACACGCCTTCACAGTTATGATTCGCTGGGAAATGTTTTAGAGTGGAACAGTTGCCGAGCTGCGAGTCCTTTGCATTTAATCGTTAAACTATGTTTACCGAACCAGTGGTAACCGTTTCAACCAAAACGGTGAGGATTAACCAATATTCCGAATCTTTGAGATAGGGGCACCTGTAACCAAAATGTCAAGTCCAGTTTTGGGCACCAGGGCATTGCTGGCAGGGGAGGTGTGCATTCACCTTGAATAGTCAACAGCATTGCCATATCATTGATATGACAAGGTGGATAAGTATTTTTGGTTGTTTGGTAACCAAGTGCACAGATTTAGTACATAATCTAAACTTATTGACTTATTAATTACGAGGAATGTGCCTTTATCTTTGTGTCTTTCAGAGTATTTTATTAAATTTTGTTTTTGTATTTGAAGATTATGGTTCAGTGTTTTATGTATAATTGCTACTTTACTTTTGAGTCTTCTGTCCTGAAGGCTTTCTAAATTTAGTGATTTTACTAAAGGTGTTACTCTAGTCAAATGTGAATATTCATTTGTAATGAATCTCTCTGCTCTATTTTGTGTCTGTTCCAGTTTTTTAATGTTTTCTTGAGTTGAGGGGTCCCAAACGGAGGATGCATATTCTATTATTGGCCTAACCAAGGTTAAATAACAATTTAATTTTATGTTCGTATTTGATTTATAGAATATAGATCTAGGCCTATCTCAACTCGGCTTTGTAGCTTTCGTAAACGAATGTAGTCTCTTAAAAATGCTATAGAAAACCAAATTTGAATGTTTATTTGATCAAAATATGAAATAAATGGACTATAATTAGTATGTTCATGTGTTAAAGTATAAAACTATCTGTGCGAAGAGAAGTTTTATCATCTTAGAGTTGAATTAGAGTTTTTGATCTAGGGATGGGATTATAAAGTAAACAATTAAACGAATTAATTTTTAGTACGCGATTCATTACGGTATTGTCTAATGAAAGAATTTTCGTCAGGAAATCTGTAGTCCCAGATATAAGGAACTAATTTATGTAAAAAATTCTTTTGAAACATAAAATTGAAGGTTAATTTTATTATATAATGAAATCAACGGTTCTTCTTATGTATTTTCATGTGTCAAAGTAAAAAACTATCTGCGCAAAGTGTATTTCTTAAAATTAGATCTAGGTCTAAATCCTTTCGATCTTTTATCATGTCAAAATTGTATAGACATGGCCTAGATCCATAAAATAGCTGTAATAGAGTCGGACAATTTTTTTTTTTTTTAGGGTCTTAAGTTTGTTTTAGGGCTACAATACATACACTACGGTCTAAGTTGGTACACAAGAAACATTCCTGCCAAGTTTTATCAAGATTGGTCTAGCGGTTTTGATGTCTATAAGTCACATACATACACCTCACATTCTACTTTATAGTATAGATAAATAGTTCGTCGCCACGTCGCAGAGGCTTTGATTTCTACTGCCTACAGATTGCTACGTTGCAGGCCAGTGTTCAGGTCTTCTAAGACGATTGGTCACAGTTGGATACAGACATAACAAAAACACAAAATAAAAGAAAGAAGTAAAGTTCCCCTTT